AGCGTGGTGGACTCGGATGGAAGGCGCCTGACACGTGGCTCTGGCTTCTGATTGGTCAATAAAGCCTGTTCTGTTGTACCGGTCTTTCACCTATTAGAGCTCGGGTATTCTACATTGGTGGCAGCGGATGCGTTCGAATAACGCAAATCGAACCCCAGCCCTTTCTCTTCTATGGTCAACAGAGGCAAAGACCCTTATATGCCAGCTGATGTTGTCTTGGCGTTCATCCGATGTCCAATAAACTGCATCCATTGACTTTACCCGGGATTAGACTACTGTATCTGAAGAAGCATTGGCAACTCAGCAACGACGACGATATGGGCAGTGAAAGCCAGCTGGACTGCAACTGCGAATGGACCAACGATGGATGACGAGCCCTTCCTGGAAGTCTACAAGTGCAAAGTCCCTCGTCAACTATTCGCATGGGCCACTGTCCCACCAGATGTGTGGTGCGGGGAGTGTCGAACTGGATATTATTTCAACACCGGATATCACCAACAGTGAAAGGAACCAAGCCCGAAGCTGAGGACAGCATCACTCCAGAGGGTGAGGCAGTGTGTGTAGCGGACTGACAGATGGCAGCCATATTGGTGACGGTAGTCAGCACGGCGCGGAGTCGACGTCACGTGACCGGTGGTGCGACTTCCGGCTGCGTAGCGGCGTGCGGGCATTGATTGACGCGCCGGGGGCTGAAAGCCAATCCGCTCTCTAGTTTTCCGTCTCCATTGTAGCGACGCGAAACGGACCAACGGTAGAACAGGAAGAACAGGACAAGGATATATAAAGCCCCTGTTTTCCCTATACGGATCGACTAGTTTGTGACCAGACTGTAGTGCTTTCTGTATCTAGTAAAGTTATCCGTTACCTCTCACTCGTGTTCTTACAATGAACCCGAAACCTATATGTGGCGCGGGTTAGGGCGCAGACATACTGGGCCACCTAACCTCAGCCAATCCTGTGTCTCTCTGCGTGGCAGTGGCATGCGAGGAAGATGGGCAGCCAACCAGAAAAGGACACGACTGAGGAGCAGTATATAATTGGCGGCGTGGCCAGCGTGGGGGACTCGGATGGAAGGCGCCTGAGGTGTGGCTCTGGCTTGTGATTGGTCAATAAAGCCTGTTCTTTTGTGGCCTGTTCTGTTGTACCGGTCTTTTTCCCATTAGGGCTCGGGGATTCTACACACTGTCTCCGTGGGATCAAATGGCCTGAGAGGAGGATTGGAGCCAACTAGAGAAATTGGTGGAATCAAGGCCGTAAATAATGATCTGAGCAGCCAGTGTGTTGAAGTCGGACGGATGCTACTAACGTGCTGTTCTGATTTGTGCTTAGTCAATCGGGCCTGTTCCCTTGTAACAATCTTCATTCAAGAGTGTAGTCCTGTGGAAGGCAGAAGGAATATTTGATTACGTCGCGTTCAGATAATTGTGAGTTTGAATGGCCTACAAGGAGGACCTGAGGCATCCCGAGATAAGGATGGTGAGGGGTCGTTTATATAGAACGATGCAGACAGTGTAGTAGATTCGGACTACCGGTTCTGCTCTCTGTTGGTAAATGATCCATAATATGTACCTGTCACCTTCCTATTTGGACTTAGATATTCCAAAATAGTATAAAAAATGAGGAACTATAAAACAAACTACCTCCTGTCGGATGCAACTAATCAAAGAAAACTGGCGTTTAAAAAATTGCGCAGAATTTAAGAAGACGCTTCATACACTAACTAATGTAAAAATCAATAAAGCAAAAGAACGATACGGCAATAGGGCTCGCGACAAGGGAAATGCTTAACCTAAATGAACATTATGATTTGCATTACATAATTCTATAAAAAAATAACTTGCGCATTTAACTACTAAATATCTGAGAGAAACTGCGACGATTGTTGTTGTAGGGATTGCCTTACTAATCACGAATGCATATTTCTTAACTTTTGTTTATCATATTTCAACGTAAAGGTAAATTTGCAGATATCAGGCTTATGTCACAGCCTGTTACTCAAGCAGAACTTGATATAGTATGTTTATATGAATTCATGCTCCAAACTGCCTTTTTATTCTTGAAATACAGTGTTACCTACGCAAAGCAGCAAATAAAAGGCTTGACTGTTTTTGTTAGAACAGAAAAGAACTTCCGCTAATTCGATAAACCTCTGTTTATAAAACCAGCGTTTGAAATTCATTAGCCAAGATTCAATGGATTGGAGTCTGAGACACAAACCGTTATACATTTGAGTTAGGGACTAGAATGCATCATTATTGATTGTAACTAAACCAAGCTAAATAATAAAAAAATTAGCAATTTAATACCTTTCATTATATCAGTAATTTTACCATAAGGCTAGCCAAGTATGAGTCACATTTTACTAGGTAACTCAAAGAGATCTATGAATCCGAAATGCTAGTATATGAAAACTGTAGGTGATATAATGTCACTTCTCGCAAAATGTTTAACTAATAACTGTGATATTTATTCTCCGGGTCCTAAAAACTACGTGAAATAACTTGACAAATTTTTTGGTTTACATAAAATGGAAGATTATATCCCAAAATAGCGCTTTGGATTTCAACTATAGCACTTCAAAAATTTTCGCTGATAATGTGTAGAAAGATGGGCTACTTTCTTAATTTTAGGAAAGATATTTATTTTAACTGACAGCTTATTAGCCGAAGTTTTCGTTTGCCGCTCTGGCGTTAGGGGAACTTTTCTGCGTCTCATTTCCGTCCTATGGCGGGCGATGTAGTGACTGCTCTCTCGAGGTTTGGTGAAACGCTCACTGACGCCTCCGTTGGTCGTGATACGGTGCGTTTATTCTTATGATTAAAATGACGCCGTTTGGCTAACTTCATAAATTCTGAAGTTATGAGTGCGCATCCAGCTCTTTGTTTTTAGACTTTAATTGCACTTACCAGTTTGACGTCCACCGTATTCACGTATTTATTTTTGCTCTTTTAAGAAGCAAACATTAACTCGACTTATTGTCTTACGGGTTTTTACCATCAGTCGATATGAAATGCAAAATAGTTGTACTTCCCGCGGTTTTAGCCAGTCGAAGTATTCATCGGACTCACCTTTCTAGACCGGCGTACTTTGTCATCAACTCTTATTATTTAAATTGGCGCAATTTCTAATTCTTGCAAGGACTTTAGTCATTAATTCAACATCCATGTATGTACTATTTTTGAGACCACCGAATTCAGTATTGTGCCAAACGACTCTTGTGACCCTCTGTAAAGCTTCAGCTGTTCGATTTATTGCCCGAGCGAGAAGTAGGACTCTTTTGTGGTAGAGCCTTTACTTGGTCATGTATGGCGTCCGTTACTCGGGACATTCCCCCGTCTCTGTGATTTGGAGTCTTCATCTGCTGTCTTTTGGATTCCGCCATGCGAAATGAATCGGTTTCCATCTGTGAACTTCTAAAGAGACATAGATTAATGGTAATTTTTGTTCTAGATAATAGAAAATGGATTGTGCCGCTGCATCTCTGCGAAAGCCATTCACTGTCTTGAATGCTCTTCAACCAAGGCAGAATTGGGTCTTTTCGTTTAAAAGGATAATGTCTTCATTACTGGACTATTCTTTCCACTTCCGTCTCTTTCAGCTTTGAAACTGTAAAATATGATTATACTGACTATCTTTCCTAGCATTCGTTCACTAAAATCCTTTAAACGTGATTACAGTGGTGTTCATGATGTACATGGTCTGTTTTAAAGGATGGTGTTGGATGTTGAGATAAAAAGTGAGATTTATGAATCAAGGAAATGTAAACTTCCGAATTTCGTCACAATTATCTGGAAGATAGGCGGAGTGTTCTAACAACTGTCGGTCCGCATCGTAGCACTATTGATTTCTGTTTTACCTCTTTCTCGTCATCTCTTCCGTTAATTCTTTTTAGCATTTATGGTCTGCCGAGGCCAGTCTTTTTAACGAAGTATTGCTAAGTCAGAATTCCCAAAAATATTTAGGCGTGATTCAATTACGCATCCTAATATTGCTAGTTATTTTTTGTTATGGTTTTTCGAGCTCTTAAGAATCCTTGTTTTTCATCGTTTTCACTGTTATTTTCGCAAATATCTTCCAATACACAAATTAAGCTTGCGCTCCTGCAATAAACCCACTTCGAATATTTTATTGCATTCAATGAATCAATAACCTTGCTAATACCCAGATATTGACGGAAACTCTAGGTTTTATACATAAATTGCGAGACATCTCTGTTTCAAAGCGATGTAATGTGTTCAACAGGCTCAACTTTCTTATAAAGTAAGTTTTTTCCTCGTTCTCTTACGTAGAAACTGAAGGTCCTTCGAACCCTGAGTGGTGTCGCACTCACCCTTACCGAGCTCTCAAACTCCGGTGTTGGCCGTGCTGTACGTCGCCTTAAGGCCGAACCCGGTGAACTTGGTGAAACTGCTAAAAACCTCGTCACCAAATGGAGGGCTCTGCTAGATGAGCATATGAAGCGTGAGAACATCATGATTCCCAACAAAGTAGAAAAACCAAGGAATTTGACTGGATCTCTGGAACCGCTATCTCCATTTTCGAAGACTATCAAAAGACACGCCTCTTCGGTATCTGAGACTCAGTCTCTTGATGCATCCTCGGGTCTATCATTTGAACAAGCAATGAACGTGACCATTACTATGAAGAAAAAACCCAAGAAGCGATCAGTAGCTAAGATGAAAGAAGAGATGCCAAGCTTCCATCTTTCTAGGGAGTTTACGCAGGATATTCTTTCCTCCCTTTCTGTTTCTGTCGACAGACCTGATGCGTGTAAGCCCTCACCAAAACCTCATCCTCCCGGTAAGTACAGAAACATTTTTGATCCTTGTCAGATAACATGATTTAATAGGCCCTTAAACTTGTCGACCACAAATTACGAATTACTAATTTTTGCACCTTATTTGCATGCAGGTTGTTGGTGTGCAACTTGCTGCCGATTTGTGTTTTGCCCTCATCCTCTAACAGTGACCAAGATCGCCCAATTATGCAGTTAATTTTGCTAAAAACGATTTCATTCTGGTTTATTTAAAACAGTCGTTTCATTATCCTTTCCATTTAACTTATAGTGACTGGTATTCCTTTTGCCCTGCAGTTTTGGACTTGTTAACTCCCATAGTGATAAAAATGTAGTATTTGATCAGTCGTCTGTTTAATTTTATATTTCTTGTCTCCATGTTACAGCTTACCGTTCTCTTAGTGAAATTAGTTTCGCCTTGTCAGTAAATTTTGGGCAAACTCGTGACACGTGTCATCCTGTCTACTCCGTGACCTATTCAGCTTTTCTTGTGGTTTTATGGATATCTGGTTCCGCTCGTCAAATCGTCCTTGTTCCGCCTATTTTTGGTTTTTTTTGTTACAATTCAAACATTTTATTAGCACAGCGACTTGCATTCCATCTTTACTTTAGCAATAGGCGACTTTTTATTTTTGCTCCCACTGGCGTTGAGGCGGCCATCAACGCGGTAGTCAACTGAATTACTATAGTACTCAATCGACCAAAGTATGACACCGATCTAGCTCTCTTACTAAGTACCAGTTAGTTACAATGATTATGGGTACATCCATTTCCCCCCTCTTAATGTCTATAGTAAAAGTATATGCCTCGCAAGCTGCCACCCACATCTCTGTGTACAACAAGATTCCGAATATCGCAAAAGTCATTTTCGTAGTTACATGAAGTGTAGCCTCGTGGGGTGTGTAAAAGTTCGTTGCGGCCTTAGAAATCAATTCTTCAGATGTATGTGGTGGCTAAGTTACGCAATTTTAGCACAAGTTATGAATTCAGGAAATAGCTGACTTGTGTCCCTCATGTACGCCCACACAAAAACCCAGACAAGGGACCAAAATGTTGATGACGGCAACGTAGATGCTCTAGGGTCTTTGCGATGCACTTCTGCATGGCTCACCATCGTGACATTTATCCTCTGGCCATTGCATATAGTAAACTGCGAACTCTAACTTCAGCTGCCTCAAGTTATATCGTGGGCGTGCCTTATAAATCCAAACAAAAGCACTTTTACAATAATTAACCTGATCGAAGTGGTTACCAGTAGAGTTATTCATTCAAAAATAGTACACGAGTTATACTAACCTTTAGTATATGTGCTAACTTAATACCCTCAATGAATTTGTCAATTTTGTCGTGAGGCGAAATTTTTCTATTGGACGTTTACGTGAACATCCTCCTGTCCCTCTATAAGTGAATAGTAGAATAAACATTCTTTTGTTTCAGCGATTTCGTGCCCTTCAAATCAGTTTGAAGACGACGGTGACCTCAAATTCCACTCAAAAAAAGTTATTTGGGCTCCACGTGTCAAACGACCAGTCGAACAGGGCTCTTCATGTTCTCATTTATTTAATGGGAATACCTCTCTTTATCAACCCCCCACTCTCGTCGATGCCTGTCTATCTGTGATTGAAAAGAACCTATCGATTGTAGAATATGTGGGGCAAGTGCCTTATGAACTCTTTTCCCGCGTTCTGCAAAATGCTTCGGTGGAGGATCTTCTTCGCATTGAGAAACACAATCCGGTTAGTATGGAGTCACGTACACCTATGTCTAGTCTTTTGATAGACAGTGCCAGAAATTTTATTTGAAGCGATACTTTTGCTAACATGTGCGGTTAGTGATCGTTTGGGTTCGGGGACAAGACATCCGGGCAAAAATAGGTCATGCTTCCCCATGAATAGGCCCGCTTCTTAATCAATACTGGCTTCGAAAAATCGTCGCTGCTCTAATAATGGAGTTATTACCTTGATTAACTTGATGGCGGTTGAGAAAATCTGCAAACTGTCTACGTTTGCATAAAGGGTTTGGTGTAAAACTTCAAACAGCAGGTATGGTTAAACACAGAGTTGCGCGCCTTTTGTATATTACTACTGATTAATTCTGTCTGAAGTTTAAAGAAATTGGAACTATCAATTCCACACGGGAGTAGCGTTGTTAACAACGGTCAAGTTGGTGAACAAAACCTCATAAATACGGTTTTTCCATCGCATCAGCAATTCGAAGGTCTTACGGATGAACTCTGGAAGAAGCACGTTCAACGAAGATTCCCAGAGTGTCGTGACCTGAATCCCCGATCTAAAGAAACTTGGGCCAAACTGTATACTCGACTCGAAGACGAGTGCTCCCGTCGACTAGATCAATTTATCAACCGCTCCGCATCGAAGCTGAGGGCCGAAAAGGAGAGTAGGTTCTCAAATTTTGCCGTAGTTGTATCCTTTGGTTGCATTAACTTGTTTTCTTCATCTGATGCCGTTGCCCCCAAGTGGACAATGCTGCCGAATCATTGTGTTGATGCTTCGGTTTATTCCATTAACTTGGAGAGATATCGTGGATTTTATTAATCAAACATCTAGAACTTGTATGAAACATAAATCATGCTTTTAGAATGTGTTATCAGTAATCGCCACGTATTTAGGCCGCCGGACCACACTCATGACTGATGTCATCACCCCCGCACAAATTCGGAAGCGAATTTCGCGTCAGCTGGACAATCACCGAAGTCATGGCCTCTCTCGTCTAGGTCGTTGTCCTACAAAATTGTCCAACGTTCGAGAGGCAAAGATGGTCTTCAAACCGCGTAACATGAGCTACCCGACTCCCCCATCTTCCGCAGCTGACCGCAGAGATGCCTTGGCAGCACAGCGACAGTCTGCGTCGGTGCTCGATAAGTTGCGAAAACAAGTCCGCAAGAGTCGATAGGCCCACCCACTTCCGACCAAAATCACGCAAAGCTGTCTTATAACTTTTTACTTGCTTTTTCTTCAAGTGCCTATATTTCAGTGTTGTGGGTGTTCGCGCGTTAAAGTATTCGCTGTTGCAGTCGTATTTTTCTTGAGCATTTGGAAATTTAACTGCTTTCTATTTCATCGTTTATTTATTCTACGGTGGGCTAAACACTTTAAGTAAAGCATCACCAACCATTCACTAAACTAGTGGTGCCTTAGTTGTATGATTCGAACGTGGCTTCCGATCTATTGTACCAGCACTGATAAACGTTAAGCAAATTTTGCGTACCCAAAGGAAAGTTGGATGTGTAATGTGGAAGTATAATTTCAAAAAGAAAACGGGCAAAACAGAATGCAGTTTATCAATACGTCACTAGATCAGGTTCTTCCGATTCCTCTTGCGTATTAACGTCGTCCACTGTCCTTTGTTGACCAATTTCTAAAATCGCTGGGGAAGATTCATTGAGGAAAAACGAATTCATTCTGAATGTTCTCCCAACGTAGGGTTCAAGCATGCGAATAATGCTGCCAAAGGAAGGTCGGTCCTCTGGGTCACTGTGCCAACAAGCTTGCATCACGTCAAGTCTGTAAGAGCACAGTGGTAATTTAACACGGCGTCTGTCCTCTCACAGTGCTGCCGCTTGATTTTAAATGTAATGATAAGCAAAAAAGGCGCTGGCGCTCTGTATTTGCGGAGCCGAAAAAACTACAAGGGCTGCATTTATAGAACCCATGCTTCTTAATGTTAGTTTTGTATCTAAGGTGATTGCCCACCAAACACAGTTCCTGTTCTTAGTTATAAAGAATTCAGATAACTAAACCTGTATTAGTAATAATAACGCTTACAAGATAGGTGGAAATTTGGAGGGCCATCCCTGTTTCCCAAGGTGCCCACCGTTTACGACCAATGCGATAACTTCTTCGTGTGATAAGCCTGAGAAGGGCAGTGCAGCGAAGGTAGCTATCTCCCAAAGTACCACACCATAAGACCTACATTTAACGGGAAGTAGTCGGAATTTAAGTTAGCTAAAATTCAATATAAAGAGTGTAAACGGAAGGAAAAACGTTCAACATGTATGTAGTATACTGGCAGTAAAACGATTTTGGTTTCTAATACGGAAGAGTGCTTAGTTTGATTTGACGGACTTTCTATTTTGACAGATCTTGCTTTTGGCTCGCTTCAAAAGCAGATTCGGGGTAATGATATCTGCAACTGTTGGTTTAAGATCTAACTACAAACATAATAAGTATTTGCGAAGCTCATTGCGTTAATAGGTTAGCAGAACGCGTGACTGCCAATTTTATGGGATTGCAAAGGTCGTGTGTGTAGCAAGTTGCTTCCTATAAACCAAACAATCACTCCAAATGCTTTCTGTCAACAACTCCCAGATGTAGAGGAAGTAATCCAAGAACAAGCAAACTGCAAGGAAGGCTTGTTCCACAACAACAATCCAGCTCCTCAAACATGTTTGATAAATCGGAAATTGTTGGAGGTCTCGGTCGGAAAGGTTGTGCCACATTCGGTCCTGACCCAGCAACGTCATAAAACCATTTCTTTCAAAGGGTGTGAAATTGTTAATATCTTAGCTGTCACTAATGATTACGCGACCAGGTTCCGCTCTCGGTTTGTTTCATTGCTGGCAATAACGAGAAATCATAAGATCGCCATAAAATTGCAAAGGTCATCGGACAGGTGAGGGTTATGCAAGTGATTGCATTCCTTCTTTGCAATGTAAATACACATTTTACACAAAAGTAACGAAATTGCTTTATTGACAATCAGCTACAATGGTGGACAACTAACCAAACATCAGATTTGAAGGTAAAGTAGGCTTCGTTAAGAGCTTCCGGGGCCATCCAGCGAACGGGAAGACGTGCTCGACCCTGTTTTCGGTAGTACAGGTGTTCAGATATGTCGCGCGTTAAACCAAAATCTAAAAATTTAACAATTGGATGAGCCCCTTAAACACCCAAAAAGGGCTTGCATGAAGACCACTTTTAATTGATAAACAAAATGCCTTAGAAATCTTGACAACATGCTGTCCTGTGTCCTGCTAAACATGTATGCCGTAAATTTAGGCTGCACCTGATTGAACTGTTTAAACACAATGATCCCTTCGTTTGCGAAAAGTGGAAAGTAACAGGTAATTTAGACTAACGCACTATTAAACTACTTCTAACCGACCAAATCGAGTTTCCGTTCGTTAATAAGAAGAGCAGCTGCACGACCTTCTTCGCCATTGCTGCTTACAATAAACAAGTTTCCACCCTTGCCAGGCGCCTCTCAACCACGCATGCGCTTTGGCTGGACACATGAAAAGGCTAAATTCCAGCACTTTATAAATAGATATGCAGGTGCCTTGCAATTGCAAAGTGATGGTACTCTATCGAAAAATTTTGAACATAATTACATTTAAAAGGAAAGTGAATGTTGCTATGGTGTCCGCACCAAACATTTTCGTGGTCCCACTATCTCCGAGCCTTGCCGATTCTCCTAAACAGACAATTGATATATTTGCAAACATATGTCTAATTCGATGCCTCTGTGGTCCATAAAACATTTGAATTTGCAGAGAATCTACCGTAAGCTCAGCACCACTCTTCTGTTTAGCTCCCATTGTGTTAGCGTTGTCAAATGAATAAATACAATTAGTGTACAAAAGTAATCCGAGGATAATAGACTGTTCTGCACAGGTAAGAACTTACGTATGACCAGTTAGCATCCGACGTGCCATCAAGCTATGTCAACAAACACGTCGCAAATCAACTTGACGCACACTGGAAAAATAGTGGGCTCAAAAAGTGAAGAAGACCGTCAAGATAAATGTAACCTTACTAATCAGTCATAAACTGTTACCGATACGGCACGTGATTAAAAAGGCACTTGGAAAGTGCGCCAACAATGTAGATCGAAGCATTCTCAGAAAAAAAGCAAATTGTGCACAAAACTGAATGCACCTCCAATCTTTACAGTGAGACCGATTCCGACAAGGCAGTTGCGAGCAGCGAGATCCCGGTGGACAAAGCCCTTGTGTTCAAGATAGGCCATTCCGTCTGCCACCTCTGCAGCCCACTTTATAGCCAGGTCAGGGGCCACGGAGCCCTGAGAGTAGTCCTCTTGAGCCATTCGATGCCGAAGGTAGGTGGCCAAGTCGCCGTGCTGCATAAGTTCCATCACCACAATAGGCTGACGACGTATCAAAACCTGGAGATCCAAAAGTTGGGATTAAAATGGACATGTCAACTCAACCACTTTGTGAATCAAACAAGGGAAGCGGACACATGTAACCAGAGTACTCCAGGACTAAGAGAAAATTACGGTTTTTTTTCAAATTTACGGAAAACAATTATTGCGTCTTGTGTAGTTTTCAAATTTACCCTGCTTACATCTTGTTATTCGAAGGCGATTCACAGCATTATCAGTTGGCATGGTCAGACGTGCATTACGACTTACTAAAAGCCAAATACTCGAGTGCATAAATAAAAGTGGGCAGGTAGAACAGACAGAGATAAGTAACGGTGTTAAGTATCACTTCAATATCCAATACCAACTGTATCCACATTTGTCAACACAAATACCTACTTGCTTTGAAACGATTCCAAGAAGCCGAACAATATGGTTGCAACTGAACTGCTTCATGTGTGAAGCCTCCCCAAGAAATTCACGAACATCCTCATATGTAGAACCAGGAGATAATATCTACAAGAAATGCGATTTATAGTAAAATTTTTCCAAAAACCCAAAGAAAAGTAGTCTTACAAATTGATTGACTCAAAAAAATGCTGCTGGCACACAAAGTTCAGCTGCACATTCGTTGACAAAACATCGGCAAATACTGCTAGGCGATCGGTATCGCAAAAAAATCACTTTGTATAGGGTTAATGTACTGAACACAACACAGTCTAAAAGATGTCAGTCAAACCAAATGCATCTTCACCAACCTGCCATGTGCCTCTTCAAGTCGCCAATGACAGAGAATGCAAGTCCAGCACAACGTAACCAACGTGGTCAAATTATTGCAAATTTAGGCGTTGCACTTTAACATGGTAGCTAGAAATCAGCAAACACACACTGCTCCTGATAGCCAGTCAGCACAAACACCGCCCACACTTGTGCTTCGTATGCTGAGCCCTCGCCTGCACAGACGTGCTTGTATCTGCGACAGATACTGCAGCATTAAACTCGCCATAAGTCAGAAGCAGCTAAGTCACTTCATAAATGCATGCCTCGGGCGCAGTTCCGCCCCAGTACCACTTGACTCAGGCACATCTTCCAGGCAACAGAATGCATTGCCTACTTCATTAATGCTGCACCTTCGGCTTACACCCTCATATTTTAACACCAAAACAGCTATTAACTGAATTTTCCCTACTTTAGACACCACACCAGCCGACCAGGCTGTGGTCAGTGATTCTGAAACGGATGACAGTAAGTACTACACATGTTTCATTGGTTTCTGGGTTTCGATGTTGGGGAGTGCATTGGACGTCTAAGGTGCGTCAATGCAAAAGCGTTTTGCTTAGGCTCTGTGTACTTTGCATTGCCCTGTGACTGGTACGTGCAGAACCAAATCATGGTGGTCAATGCCGATGTGGTGTCGAGTTTTGTAAATAAGGCGTCTTAAATCGGAATGGAATACGCTGATGTTGAGCTTTTGTTTGTAAGCAGTTGACTCCTATCAACCGAGGTAAAATGCTCACACGTGTGTGTGTGTGTGTGTGTGTGTGATTTGTTAAAGTCCCCGAGGTGT